GGCTGGCTGGGGGCCAGACCACCCGTCCTGGCCAGCCGGATGCGGCCCGCAGAGGCTGACTGGCCCCCCCATTTTACAGTAATTAACCAACCCAAATAACCCCGAAAACAGGGCTCAAGGGTTTAGAATTGCGGGGGAAGACCCCAAGCCCCACGCAGCTGAAGCACTCTGCTCGGCAGGCTCCCCCCAAGCCCCAGGAGAAGCCGACCAGAAAGGCTAGCCCGGGGAAGCAGCGGGGCAGCCACCCAGGCGGAGGCGGGCGGGAGACAGGCCAGGCTGTTAGTACCTTCTGCTGCTGTCGCCTCCTCCAGCAAGGCCTGGGCAATGAAGCTGATGCTCCTCAGGTACTCGACGTAGGCCTCCTGTCCCGAAAGAGAAGGGAGGGGCCGGCTCAGCTCCTCCGAGCGCCGCCCGCTCAGCCGCTGGGCACGGGGAACCTGGCAGGCTGCTGGAGGGAGCGGGAGATGCACGGGGAGGGGTAATAGCTCGCGCCAGCCCCCCAGCACTTAAGGGCTCAGACCCTAGGGCCGCTCTCCTAGGGGCCTGCCCGCCCCTGGCGCTGGGCACAGGGGCAGACGCTTGGGGCACATCCTGCAGCAGGTTCCTATGGGAGCCCTGGACTGTGGATGCTGAAAAGGGCTTCAGGGGACCGTCCCTCTCGGCCCAGGAGAAACTGGGGTCGTTACTGCCTTGTCCTGTCGCCTGTGCAGCCAAATCCAGAGCCAGGCTCCCAGCAGTGCCCGTGAGCCAACGCTGCCCCCAGGCCGGACTGGAGAGCGGAGCGAGCGCTGGGCATGGCAGGCCACAGACACGGCCCCTCTGCCCGGACACGGGTCTGCTCCCGTGAGGCACTGGCTAGCACTGCTGTAGGGTCGGGCTCAATGCTGCTCAGCCCAGGCCAGCCCCTGTGCACCAGTGGGACTCCTCGCTGCAGGGAGAACCCTATCCCTGTCCCACAGGCCGGGCCGGTGCGCACTGGCTCCCGGGGCCCCGGGAACAGCAAAGCCTCCCG